TGAATTTTTGATATCATTCACTTTACCTTCATTGAAACCCTCAAAACTCTTTAAAGGTACAAACACGCGGGATCTTTTTGATATACAGTACGTGTTATTACAAAACACCATTCATTTGCATAATTTGAAAGAAACTTTCTGGTAAGTTCTTTCTATAATAAATAGCTTACTATTCCAAAATTTTAATTTGATACAGAAATGGTTAGGCAGAACAAATGACGGTTATATAAATTAATTGTACGTTAATGCGTAATACGATATACTAGGTTCATGATTACTTGCAGTTTTCTTCAATCTCTTTTTGACCACAAACATGTGAAAAAAATAGAGTACAGCAGTCATCATTCTATTTTAACCTCGATCATTATAAAAACAAACAAATTTGTCAACAAAGAAAAACAAAATGGCATATAGACAAAGCATATAAGCAAAAATGAAAAACAAGAATACAAAAAATTACCACAGCACAACAACGCATTAGCGTGATGTATAAGTACCGAGTCACTTCAAAAATATTTTACGAAAATGGACTAAACAGTGAAGGCTAATAATATACACATAAATAAAAGAACACAATAGCACGTAATTAAGATGATAAACAACGTCAGTACCTAGAATCTATAGACCATCATGTATTATTTGTGAAGTTGATACGGAATATTTATCAACAAGATCTTTGTATCATCCAGTGAACTTTTTCTGAAAAAGAACTAGACGTGCTCTGCCATAACCCTGGTTCATCCACTTTCTGCGCAGACACTGGTGTCGTTTTATAAAGTCTGTGTAACTCTTGAAAACCAAATGAGTTGGAAAATGTAAATCACATATGCAGGGGAAGTTGGCATATTGATATTGATAATTTCAAAATTAAAATCGTCTCGTTGGTCATAGATTCTGGTACTTCTATTACTCTTTTTAAATATAAAGGTCTTTAGCGTAAAGAGTTGGACATACCAAAAACATATTCAGTGTCAAGAATAATGATTAATACAAACTATGCAACAAATTAAATATCAACGTATGTATCGGATATATACAAGGCATGCACATGAATTGAGGCTTCGGTATAAAAATCTACAACTCAAAGTAACAAAATATATGGATAGAGTTTACAAAATAGAGAATAAAGAGTCAAAAATTAAGAACTCTAGTATATAATAATGAGGTGTTAAAATATAATTAGAATTGTCTATATTTAAATGAATAATTCAGACCTTCATAAAGTGATACCAGGGGATGAGAATATGTATGCATATCAAATAGTACATATTTTATAAAGAGAAAACCGTCATATCAATGATATAATAAAACTGTTAACGACACAAATGAGTTTTGATTGTTTAATTATGTTTTAATAATTATATTTTTTCATTATGACAGCAATTTTATCAACTATGGCTGTAAATACATCAGTGTGTGCGGTATGCGATTTGCGACATTTTACAGCACTCTCTACGCATTGGTGTCCTGATTGTGAGAAAGCACTGTGTTCTGACTGTAATGAACATCACAATTTATCCAAGGCATCACGAGGACATAGAATCATCCCGATAACACAATTTCAATCTTTACCTACCATCGTTACCAATATACAACAGTTTTGTATTTATCATAATGAAAAATATCAGCAGTATTGTATGAAACATGAATGTCCAATATGTTACAAGTGCATAAAGAAGCATGGAAAGTGCGACGAAGTTGTCATTCTTGATGACGTTGTCAGCGGGGTAATAACGTCAGAGTGTTTCCAAGATGTAGAACAAAGTTTGGGAGACATACTTTGAAACATTCAACGAATTCGCGAAGAGAGAGAGAACAATTTCAAATTCATCAAAATCCAAAAAAAATGACATTTATATGAAAATTGAAAGAATAAAAATGCAGATAAACACACATCTCGACAAACTGAAAGAAGAAATCTTAAAAGAACTAGAACAGGCATTCTATAGTAATAACGATGCCATACAAACAGTAATTTCTTCTCTGAACGTCAATGAAAAGGAGATAAAATATTACAGAACAGAACTTCAGAACATCAAGAAATATGCGTCAGATCTACAATCATTCCTTGGTATGAGAGAAATTCAGGAAAAGGTCAATGATAGTGAAAAACGTCTCAAGTCAATGATTAAAAATAAAAAATTTGAAAATGTGGACATACAACTGTCAATAGATGATAAGATATGTGATATTCTTACAACGGCCAAGACATTTGGATCTATCATAAGTAAGAAAAATCCATCTGCTAACACCAAGATGGCTAGTAAAAAGACTAGACAAGCTCAAATAACAGTACATAGCAGAAAGCAAATAATTAGCACCATTTCAGCGGAATTCAAACAAAAAATTAGCACAAGATGTTCATTCCAATGGGATGCTCGATGACACGAAAAGGTTGGTTTATTTTCACAGATGCCTGTAGTGACAATGATAAACTAGTAGTATTGAACGCTAAAGGTAAAACTGAATGTGTAATCAAACTTTCATTTAGATTCGGTGCATTTGATGTAGTGTGCTTGAATGACCGCATAGTAGCTTTTACAAATGCTTCCCAAAAGAAAAAATCTGGTATCAGCATTATTGATTTGAATACAAGAGAAATAACGGATTCCGTTGATTTACCCCATCATTCCTATGGAATAACACATGACGGTTCATCCTTGCTTTGTTGCGTTGATGACGATGTGCGTGTAATATCATGTACAGATTATAGCATTACAACAATTCCAAATACAACCACAGATCAACATTTCTACACATGCTGGCAAGATTTTCTTTACAAATCCAAAAGAAACACAAAGTATCTTGTTGCTTATACGATGGAACACGAGCATGGGACTTTAATGATGCAAAAGTTTTAAAGGAGCCTCGTGGAATTACTGTAGATGATAAGGGAAATGTTTTCATCGTTGGAGGTTACTCGTGTAATGTTATCGTCCTAACTCCGGATGGAAAACAATATAAAGAAATTCTGAACAAATTAAATGGGCTCAGAAACCCATTCGCAATTTCCTTTGACAAGTTAAGGAACCAGCTTCTCGTCGTAAATGGGACAAAAGACGCCTTTCTTTATAAAATTTCATATTTCTGATGAACGGCTTATCATAAAAACAGAACTATATTCATCTTTTCTTATATCAGACAACTATATGAATTGCATGAGTAGTGTAAATATATTCTTGTGGACAGGGATTGATATCACTGCAAGAGTATCTTAATTATCAATGTGCAAATCTGCTGAGGAACCAACTACTCAACAAGTGTGTTGTAGTTATGAATTTTTTGTCTTTTTTGTAACTCTATATCTTTTTGGGTTCCGTGACTGGTATGTTTTGATACATGTTTAAGTTTAGTTTCTATTTGGGTATTTTTTTGTCGTGATTCTTACGATTCATTTGTCTTCGAAAACGATGTTAATTACTATAGTTTGTCTGACATAATTCTATGCAAGCCTGGTGCATGGTATAGTTTTGCTCATTGTTAAAGGGCATAAGGTGACTTCTCTGTCATGTTTTTATCTGGATGAGAGTTGTTACATTGGCCATTAGACCACTATTTATTTTTTCATTTTGATGTTAACTTCATACAAATAATTATTTTGATATAAACCTCATAAAAATTTGACAAAAAATGTAGATGTGGGGATGCTTAGAATGCATTGTCCAATCAAAGAGCTGATTGCTCTGAGGTAGAAGAAGATGCATAAAAGGCAACATGAATTACCATAAAAGCATCCCCCACCAACCAAGCCTGCTCTGTCACATTATTACTTTCGATGTATTTTTTTTTCTTCCAAAAAAATAACACTCCTAACTCAACCAAAATTCACTATACTAAACATAAAAATATGCAAATACTGTTGGTTCAAATTAATTTTTCTATAACTTAATTCCATACATTCGTCTCAGCATGGTCAACTTGATGCACTGCAACTTTGCCAAGCAATAATAGTAATTGATTTGGTTTCACTTGAAAGATTTCTGTCAAAGGTAGATAGTTAACTTTTAAAAAAAAATGGCCACCAAGATGTTAGTCAAGTTTGCTTAAACTAGGGTTTTCATTTTAATCATATATTGAATAAATTGCTTCGCCGAGCGCAGCTGGATACGACCGCAGAGGTCCAACCCTGTTCAGTTGAGGCAAAAATGGACACAATATTCGCACTTGATACAGGTCTGAATTTTGGATTGAAATTAAATATTTGACACATAATAGGTTTCTGACACAGAATACCTGTAGTCAAAGAACTTAGAATTGGTTATATGATTTGAATTTATATTCAATTTTTTGCTTTTGTGCAATACACTATGCTGTTGCAAATTGCCCCCCCCCCCCTTTTTTGCAAAGAAAAGATAAAATTTGAAGAATTTTTTTCTTTTTAATTTCTGAAATCTTGAGAAACATAGACAAAGCTGATATAAACCTATGATATAAATTTCATAACCAGCCTACAAGAAATGTAAGTACAACACACTGTCTTTCTAACTGGTCTGACATATTGCTGATATAAATCTCATAAATATCTGGCAAAACTTGGACAGAACTTACACTGCAATTTTAAATAGTCTCCATTTCTAAGAACAATAACTCCTGCAAAAATAATTGATCTGTGCTGATTTTCATATTCATCGGAAACATTGCTGATATAAATGTTGGTTGAGGTGACAAGTAAAATCACAAAAATACTGAACTCTGAGGAAAATTAAAAACAGAAAGTCCCAAATCAGATGGCAAAATCAAAAGCTCAAACACATCAAACAAATGAATAACAACTGTCATATACTGACTTGGTACAGGCATTTTCTTATGTAGAAAATGGTGGATTAAACCTAGTTTTAAAGCTAGCTAAACCTCTCACTTGTACGACAGTCGCATCAAATTTCATCACATTGACAATGATGTGTGAACAAAACAAACAGGAAAGATACCAAAGGGGCATTAATACTCCATTGTCGAAAAAATAAACTGACAATGCCATGGCTAAAAAGGAAAAACACCAACATGCTAGCATTTTTAATTCAATTTCCTATAGAATTAACATTTCTAAGGGACATACTCCTTGCTGTGGAGTGAATTTATCAGTGCTGATATTTGAAACTCGTCCAGCCATTGCTGATACTTCAAATGTTTTTATACCTTTGATATAAATTTCAGAAATATTTGTCGAGAAATGTAGACTTGAAATTAAATTATTCATACTAAAAAAGAAAACAAAATTTTCATGAAAAAAGATATTGTAATACATGTACTTCTAACAGATATCAGTTGCACAATGACACACAAAAAAAACATCTCGAGTTCAATGCATAATTTCAAGTTTGTTTTATGATCAATCAATTATGCTTATCAATAAACAGCCTCTTTGAGTTCCTGCAAACAATTTTCAGGACAACCAGCTTCATATGATCTGAATCAAGAAAACAATTTGTGTACAATTTTTAAACATTTATTTACAAAATGACTGTACAATAATAGTCATGTTCTTCATAGTAATAAAGATGAGACAAATTATGAAATGAAATAACCTTACATAATTAAACATTCTTACAAAACATTTGTAAACTAGCTTTTATCATTAACTGAATTAAAATCCAAAGATCATCTGTCTTAATCTTATGATTTAAGGATGTTCGCTTCTCTTGTTTTTGATTTTTTGTCAGATATTCGGAATCCTTTGGTTTTATCCATGTTTTTCCATTAAGAAATTTTGTCCACTAACCCCTACTTTCTTTTCATAATTTTATTACATATAGTTTAAAAAGCCATATTTGAAAATCTTATAAAATCCTTGTTATTTTTTCAATTTTTTTAAAGAAAAAGGGTGTCAATGTTAAATGTATGAAAATTCTAGAGAGAATCATTTCCCGCCAAATTTTCAATGGCTTATATCTCGAAAACAAGCACACGGACCCTTCATTTTTTTCTGCTTTTTTAGTTCCTTCATTAATATACTATCAATTTATGACATTCTTTCAAAAAGCTTGTTATTTTGAAACAGAGTAGCGAACATCCTTAAACATTGTCTTATTTTGTCAGAAAAAAATTGTTATAACAGAGGGCAATCCATTAAAATGAATGTTGGCAGGTAGAAAAAAAGTCTTCTAAAACCCAGACAACCAATGTACTTTCTTTGTGCAGTTTTGTATACATCAAATAGCAACAATGAAATAAAATGAAATAATTCTTATATGATTTGCATATTAGAGAATATGTTGATATGATTGGTTGAGAGGACTTCCGGTAGTTGTTCTTGACGTTGTTTATTTTTCGATAGACGACATTGACCAAACTTCTTTTCGTAACCAATGTAAACAAGATGGCGGCTTTAATGACACAATCCGGATCGACGTTAACCAAATTTATTTTCAATTCGCGTTAATAGGTCTTAATAGTTAAATTAAATAAAAAACACAAAACATTCGTTTGAATGATAATAAGAGTTTTTGTTGTTTATTTTTTATCAGATTGCAAATTTCATGGAGTACATATTTTTGCTTTAACCAACAAATATATTCATGCGCCAGGCCTATTCAATGACACAAATATATAATTTACGTGTGATAGAGGTTCCGAGTGTTGAAAAATAAATTCCTTATTTCCAATTTTAAAGAATTATAAGGATTAAACGCATTTTTAAAGGAATTTATTGGTGTATAGACTGTACCAAGTCACTCACAAACATATCATAAAAGTCCTTCGGACTTTTATTTGTTTGTGAGTGAATTGGTCGAATTTATACACCAATAAATTCCTTTAAAAAGGCGTTTAATCCTATAATAAAATGAAACGAAATGAACGAAAACTTTTGTATGAATGAAATCTACAATGTTTAAATGCATTTTAAATATTTACCTGTACATGCATTTTTTTGTCTTATAGTATTACAAATGCTCTTATGGGCTTAACTGTAATTTAGACTTTTATGGACACAATAAATATTGTTAAAATTTTACAGATTGGTGGCAGAGTGTGCAATACGTCTTTACTCTGATCTTACTTTAAATTGTGTATTAAAATTGTGTATTTAAATGACAAGTAAAGTACTTCAAATTATACCAAAAAAAGTTACATATAATGAAACCATCTCTGATCTCTGTTTAAATCAACAAAATGACAAATGTACATTAATACTGAAAGCTCCTTTTAGTCTGAATATCTTCTAGTATGTGTTGTAGTTCTTCATCTTCAAATCTACCCTCCAAACTAAAACATATATAAAGAATTCATTAAAACATGTACATATAGTTATTTCAAAATGGTTGAAAAAAAAAGGCACAAATTGTTTTGTTATAAATTAGGCTGTTAGTTTTATCATTTGAATTGTTTCATATTTTTCATGATGGGGCCTTTTATAGAGGAATATATGGTATGGGTTTTTTTTTCATTGTTGAAGGAGGTAGCTTATCATTGCTTCCATCCACTTCATTTGAACTTGGTGGGAAAGTTGTCATTGGCAATCATACCACATCTCCTTATTTTTATATTTATAAGCTAGAAATGGTAATTTTTCACTGTAATTTTCAGGAAATGTACCTGAAAACTTCATATCACAAAATTAAAAAAAAGTTTACCAAAAAAACTAATTCTTTATAATAAAACCCTTATTTACTTCACAGCACGCAAATGCATGGAAAAAGTAACATACAAAAATACTGAACTCTGAGGTAAATTCTAAACGGAAGGTCCCTAAGCAAATGGCAAAATCAAAAGCTCAAACAAAAGTGAAAGCATTAATTAATGAAGTAAGACAGATATGATCTACACTTCAAGCTTTTTAAAATATGTGGAAAGTGTTATTTTTTTATAAAATAATACAATATCTTGACATAAAAATATAAAGATTAACATGGAAGAGCAAGGCGGTTTCAAATATTCAAAAAGAAGAATGATTATGTAGATAAGATTTCGAATGACATAATTTGAGTTCGAGTATTTCCCTTGGCCGCCATTTTGGAGTAATAAACAGTTTTTTGTGTTATTTGACTAACCAAATCGAAACATGCAATACAGGCATGTCTGATTAGAGGTCCTATCTCAATGTATTGGTGAATTAAGCAAGGTGAAAAGAAATAAAATTTGTTAAGAAAAAAATATTTCTGAACTTTAAAGGTTAGTATAGAGGTTGAATTTGGCTGATCTATAAAAGCAAGATGATGAAAGGGAAGTAACTCTTACTCAAATTCTGCCAATCAATACTTCTCTATACATACCTTGGTATGAGAGACTTAGCTTCTTCTGCATTATCAGGACACAAGTTTGCAAGAGCTGCCAACTCAAACTTGTGTAACTTCTTCTGCATTAACAGACTGAAATAAAACATTCAGAAGTGTAAAAACAACATATGCTTCAAAGAAATAAATGAAAGATATCTTCAAGAAATTTTCAAAACAACAAGCTCTACACTTATAGGCTGTATTTGTTCCCAGTTTTAGTTTCTCAAATGAAATGTTTTGTTCCATGTTTTAATCTTTTAAATGTGATGTTTTGCTCCCGAGTATTATTCTTTCATAGTAATGTTTTGTTTCAGGTTTTTATCTTCAAAGTAATGTTTTGTTTTTAAGTTTTGATCTCTCAAATGTAATTGTTAGTTTTTAAAACTCCCAAATGTTATATTTTGTTCCAAGATTTAATCTCTCGAATGTAATGTTTTGTTCCCTGTTTTTAAATTCTCAAATAAGTCAGTCTGTTTCCGGTTTTAATCTCTCAAATGCAATGTTTTGTTCAAAGTTTTAACCATTAAAATGTAATGTTTTATTATTCCCTTTTTTGGGATGCCAAATCCCCCTTACAGTCCTCTTACCTTCTTACTGCAGTGATAGTCTCTCTATTTTTAAACTTTGAGAATCGGCTGGTATAATTCAGTGTCTTCATAAAAACTTCTGATAATTCCTGCTCTTCTTCTGCGCTTTCGTTCTGTTGTTTCCTGTGTAAAAGAGCATATTTAGATAATCAAAGATCTTTTAAAGTTTGAAATACTGTTCAGGTCGAAGCTTGATACAGCTTTGGATTTGGATTGTGATTAAATATTTGACACAGCATAGGTTTCTAACACAGATTGAATGTGGTCTAAGAACTTAAAAATTTTAAATTGGACATTCACCTATTATGGTCCAATATCCAAAATCTAAATACATGGTTAGATTCAGCATATCAAAGAACCCCAAGAATTCAATTTTTGATGAAATCATACAAAAGTTTAATTTTGGACCCTTTTGACCTCAATGTGGACAAAGTTGATAACGGGGCCCAAAAATAAAAAATCTAAATACATGGTTAGATTCAGCATATCAAAGAACCCCATATATTCAATTTTTGTTGAAATCAAACAAAGTTTAATTTTGGACCCCTATTTGGACCAACTTGAAAACTGGGCCCATAATCAAAAATCTAAATACATGTTTAGATTCAGCATATCAAAGAACCCTAAGAATTCAATTTTTGTTAAAATCAAACTAAGTTTAATTTTGGACCCTTTGGACCTTAATGTAGACCAATTTGAAAACGGAACCAAAATTTAAGAATCTAAATACACAGTTAGATTCGGCATATCAAAGAACCCCAATAATTCAATTTTTGATGAAATTAAACAAAGTTTAATTTTGGACCCTTTGGACCTCAATGTGGACCAATTTAAAAACGGGGCCCAAAATCCAAAAACTAAATACACGGTTAGATTCAGCATATTAAAGAACCCCATGAAATCAAGAATAAAACCCCATTGAAATTGGTCAAGAAATAAGCAATTTATAGGAAGTATCTTCTTTTGCACAATCCTGTGCTATTAAATATTTCTTGCTATTGCGCAATACTGTACAATTGACAATTTCTTGCTATTGCGCAATATTGTGCTATTGGATATTTCTTGCTATTGCGCAATACTGTGCAATTGAAGATTTCTTGCTATTGCGCAATACTGTGCAATTGAAGATTTCTTGCTATTGTGCAATACTGTGCAATTGAAAATTTCTTGCTATTGCACAATACTTATTATATAATAATTTACACATCCTGTTTGGTGTGTATCTCCTACCATATCATTATTATTTGATTTTAAATATAAATCAGAAATAACCAACTTAAAATGGAAAATTTTAAAAGAAACAAAAAAGGAAAAAAAGAAAAAAAAGGAAAAAAAAATAAATCCCCCCCCCAAAATTTTTTGAACCCCCATTATGATTCATCACCCCCAAACTCAATCCCAGCCTTCCCTTTGTGGTATGGTACCTTGCAGTACAATTTCAGAGAGATCCATACACTTGAACACAAGTTATTGTCTGGAAACTAGAAAAAAATGTGTTTTTTGGCCCCTTTTTGGCCCCAAATTCCTAAACGTTTAGGGCAATTACCCCCAAACTCAAACCCAGCTTTCCCTTTGTAATATGGAACCTTGTAGTACAATTTCAGAAAGATCCATACACTTACACACAAGTTATTGTCATGAAACTAGAAAAATGCTTGTTTTTTGCCCCTTTTTTGGCCCCTAATTCCTAAAATTTGGAGGCAATTACCCCCAAAATCAATCCCAGCATTCCTTTAGTGATATGGAACCTTGTGGTACAATGTCAGAGAGATCCATACACTAACACACAAGTTATGTCTGGAAGTTACAAAAATGCTTATTTTTGGCCCCTAATTCCTTTACTGTTATTACCATAACCCCCAAAATCAATCCCAACCTTCCTTTTGTGGTATTGAACCTTGTGGTAAAATTTCATAAAGATCCATTCACTTAAACTAAAGTTAGAGTGCGAAAACCAATGTGTCTTCGGACGACGCCGATGACGACGCCAACGTCATACCAATATACGACCACAAAAATTTTTTTGCGGTCGTATAAAAATTGTAAAGGTGAGGGATGTATCAATACAATGTACATGAACACTTGTTGATTTTAATGACCAAAAGGTGGACATCATGAAAGTAGCCAAATTTACCTACTGTCAACTTTGCTCGAGGAAAGTAAGACACTGGGAGAATAATGAATTATATGACAGAACCTTACCTATGGTCCAGTAACATCTGTACTTCTGATATCAGTAAAGTTTCTGCATTCTCAAACTCTGTAAAAATATCAATAACCACAGTTACAAAAATGATTCAAATTGACAAGAAAAATTACACAAAATACAATAAATAGTACACAAAATACAATAAATAGTACACAAAATACAATAAATAGTACACAACAGCAATATGACATGTTTATATGATTGGTTCATAAATAAGAATTAGCAATGTACATGTACCAGCATGACCAGCTGTCATTCCAAAGGTTAGTCAGACATGTGGCAATGTCCAGTAATAAATGGTTTGGTCCAGTAAAATGTCATCAATTACTGGACCAAATGACCATTGTAGATGTAAGAATTTTGTAATACTCATAATGTAAAAGACTACTGAAACACTGACTGGTCCAGCAAGGTTTGAATAGTTACTGGATTGAAAGACCACTGAGGTCCAAAAAACCTTCAGAACCTCTTCTGTACAAATGTACATGTGCAGTACACAATTGGTTATTCAGTTAAAAATCACTCATGGTAAGATACGAACATACACACAAAAATGAGATATTAATCACAGTTACTCTCCATAATTGTTTTCAAGGTAATATCCAAAATTATCATAAGTTTAGATTAAACAAGGACCATAACTCTGCACATAATCATCAGACTGGAACAAAATTCGAACTTGATCTGTAACTTGTCATGATAAAACTATACACCAATTATCAAATCAATATCTTCAAGCACGAAGAAAAAAATGTGGAAAACTGATTTGTCTGACTGACTGATGGACAGAGTGCAAACCTTATGTCCCCTTCGACTTCCTCTGTAGGGGACTAATAAAACATCATTTTAGGGCAATAACTCCAATATACAGTTGATTGACAGTTTTTGTCATTTAACTTGAAAAATATATTTTTTAAATCTTCTCCTTCATGTGGGATAATTTTTTTCTGTAAAATCAGGGATCGCCATTAATGAAAATTTCATTCTGGTAAAAGTTATTCTCAATTTGACATATAATTGTTGCAATGTAATTTGTCATGAAATTATTTTGCATTTTACAATTGATTGTCTAATCCTGTACTTGTTAAACAAAGAAGGGGGATGAGAATTGCAGATTCAATAATAGCATGTGTTTGAAGGAATTAATTCAAAGTGTATCCAATAAGGAGGTGTGTTACTGTTATGATTACCAATGTCAATGATTGTGCAAGAATCATGGTTTTGTTTCATTTAAGTTTTAACCCAGAAACAATAGCATACATCATGTTGCCTGTTACTTTTTGTTTGTGTTTCTGTTTGGAGTTTATTTACATGTAAATGATTTTTGTGATGTCATTACGCCATGTAAATAAATAATTTTTAGAGATCATATTTTCAAAATTTCGATCTGTAAACAAAGCCTGTCAACGGTACTTTTGTCCAATAGGTATGATGAACCTTAATTCTTAGCCAAACAAGATATAAATATATATCTTTTTTAAAAACCTTTAGGGAAAAGTAATTCAGACGCGTCCTCTTCTTCTTGTTCGTTAGGAAGAGGTTGTGTGTGTCCACTGGGAGTCGCCATGTTGATTTATTTGTTGTACCGTAATATGGAAAACACCAGAAAGAATCCGAAGGCAGTGCATCTAAAGACCAATATGACGCACCGTAACAACGTAACGCATATTTTGGCCTGACTTGTTTGGTAAACTATTTAATTTTCATAAATCAAATGGATTGGTAGAAAAAATGTGTCCAATTTAGATCACAAAAAATATAAGATAAAATGAAAGTTTTCTGTTGGAAACGCACGATAAAAGTTGATTACCGTTTCGATTTAGAGTTTTTTTTTAGATTTCAGTTCATACACACCAAATTGCACCTATTTTGACAGTTTTTTCACCTTCGTTTATTAAAGAAATTGAAAAGGGGGTTTCCATTCTGTGTTTATTTTGTAGATGTTTCTTTATTTACTCTACAGTTGAATACATACAGAATCATAGAAAAATGAGTTTAATTGAGCCGATCTCAAAACGATCCAAGATTCTGTAATGAGGAGTGTCTATAAAATTGCACGCATGCTTAACTACACATCCGCAAAAATCGAAAAACTGAAGTTTTGCTGCTTTTTGTCTATATTTTTGGAACAATTTGACATTATCATTAAGTATTTTGTACGTAATGGATGCCCGTGGTATATTTTTATTGCTCTTTTTTCAACTTGAGTCGACTTTTTGTGGACGTCGCAGGACGTGACGTTTCCATAAGTTTTACCTTTTCCCCCTGGATACTTCATCTGTTGCTATATAATGTGACCGTTTTGTTTATCTGTAAGTACATTCTGATTCAGTTATGTTGAAAAACATGCATAATAACAAATAATAAAATTACACATTGTTTAGTCTTTTAGAAAACATATGAGATTTCCATCGCTTTTTTTTTAATGTGCGCAAATTGGGTTCTCGGTGACTTAACATGCGTTTACTATGTACGAATGGATTGCGCTTTCGAAGTGGAGTAAAAAAAGACCGAGGTAAATAAAAGTGTATAAACTTTTTTTTTCAATTGCAGGGCCGATTCCTCACGGTATTTTACGGTAGGAACCGATCCTATAACTAAAGAGAGAAAGTAAAAATATTTATAAATTGAAGAAGACTGTATGTTTCCCCTATCAAATTTGGTCATATGAATAATTTACAATGTGTAAAATCTTATAAAAATACATGCTTACTAGAAAAACCCGCGCGGTTGAAGACTACTTGAAATGTTTATGGTGATACACAGCTTGAGTTCGTGTTTCTCAAACTGTTTTTATGCACTGATGCAGTATGTTGATAGTTTTGATTAGTTTGTCAGTTCTTCTTCCATAGGAGTTTGAATGTCCAGTTAGTAGGTTCTGTCTCGGTGTTACACGGGTTCTCCTAGAACGGAGGAAATAACTCAGAGAAGAAGAAGACAACCTAAAACACTGATGATTAAAACATTTCTCAGTGGTGCTACTTTGTAGTATTTATTTTTATTTTTCGAAAGGTGCGAGTCAAGTTCTGTCTCTGTGTGATACGGGTGCTCCAAGAACGGAGGAAATAACTGATAGCGAGTTTATAGTATTTTTTATCGAGTGGTGTGAGTTCTGTCTCTGGTTGCTCCGAGAAAGAGGAATTTACTAAGAGAAGGAGAAAACAATCTTTTGATTAAACACATTTCTTCGAGTTGTCATAAATTCAAGACAAATTGCAATCTCCCATACAGACAGAGTTGTCGTCAACTTCTTCTTCTTTCCTCTATATCTTCCTCCAATAGTTGGAGTACACCAACCTTACTGAATTAAGGTTGGTTAATCCTTATAAAAATTATTAAGTGAATACCTAACTATTTAAAAATAACATTATGTACAGTTAAATCCCTGCAAAGATACTAATAATAACTTCTATGTACATTAAAAATGGGTCACAGTTTAAAAGTTATTAATAAAATTTTTTAAAATAAAAAAGTTTTGAATATTATTTACAGGGCATGCATTATAGTAAAAAATCTTTACATTTACTAAACAATGTTACTTAAAGGTAAAAAATAACGAGTTTTCAGCTTCCTGCCTGCTACATGCTGGAGTTACTACATCTGTCTATGAGCATTACTAGGCGATATAAAATCAATAAAATCATGCATATAAGCTTATATGTCCTAAGCGATCTAATTATGCATAGCCATTATCTATCTGTTATATATATATATATATGTGAAGCTACTGGGTATTAAAGCTAACGGTAAACATGTACATTTATTCCAACTATAGGTATATCTTTTTTCATAAGATTTCATTCACTGATGAAATAGGAAATTCATTCTTTTGATACATCAAGGATTTGTACAAATCCTTGGATACATTTATATTGTTGTTGAATTCATATATATTGAATTCATATATTTTGGAGCAAACGTATGATTTTTATTATTTTTTTAAGGGGGAATGGGGGATGGATTGGCACATCCTGCATTTTTTCAACAAAAAAAAGGATAAAGCCTTTTTATTTCAAATTTATTTACCCCCCCCTTTTCCGTTTTTACCCCCCCCCCCCCACCCCCCCCCCCCCCCCCCCCAATAAAAATCAAATGTTAGCTTGCTTACCTCTGAAATCTTTTTCATACATTACTTACTTGTGAAGTTGCATTTTAAAAAGTCCCAAATGTGTACGACATTCATCTTTTACTTGACATGGTTCTTTTATATAAAATTATTAGATTTTTTAATTTCTTGAGAAAAAACTCTCGGCTGAAGGGAAGTAAAAAAAAAAGGTTTGTTTAAACTGTAACTAACATTAACTGGTATATGGCCATTTTAGTTTCTAATCTGTTTAATTTTGCAACCTCTTCTAAATGCAAAATGTACTACTTCTTTCTTGAAACGTCGTACAAGTCAGATACAAAACAAAGGTAACAAAAAAACAGGCCGGAAACAAACTGCCGTATAGTTCTTCTGCACTTGTAGTCAGGTCAAGGTCCTCGGCTATCGCCTCGGACCTTCACCTGACTACTCGTGCAGAAAAACTATCCGGCAACGGTTGTTACCAGCCTATTTCTTTGTTACCTTTGTATTGTATCTAATACACACCGATACGCCAAACTTTAAATCACACCAGGTAAAGAAAGAAGTGAATAGATTTAACAGAGACTATTACCGATCGTATGCCACCTATTGTATATAATCAGCGCATTAGCCGAAACTTATCCAGTTCCAAAAACTAGACTTAATTTGTATCAATTTAACAATCCTTTCCTCCTGCTACTTCTCAGGCTCTGGAACAATTATTCATACTAGTAGATATACGACTCTATCCATACCTTAAAAAAGTTTTGGCAACAGAGCTCGAGGTTTCGACGGAATCATAATATACATTTTAGTTACTTTTCAAGTTTTGGAAGATAGGAAGATTTTGACTAATTTACGAATATATTCTTTTAGTTTAACCTATTTAGTATATATTTTGTAAAGCGGAAAGAGTTCCATATGGCACCCCCACCCAAAAATATTTTTCCCGATTAGAAAACATTCTAAAAAGGGTTTTTTTAAGGGGAGCTTTATAAAAAAAATGGGGCATGGCTTTTTGGGGGGTTTAAAAAAATAATTGGAAAAAAAATGTTAAAAAAATATTACAAAGTAGTTGCTTTTCATGTGGGCCATTTTCTGTTGACAACCTTTTTTTTTTTTCTTAATATTCATTACATTTGACATATTTTCCAGTTTCCTGTTTTCGGATATTTCATGATAAAAATCTTAGATTTTGTCTCAAAATAGTGATTTCTGGTCATGAACATTTTGTCAGTTTCCGTATAAAATCAAGTTTTTTTTTATCATGTAACAGTTAACAAATTTTCCGGTGTTTTCGTAGATTTTATGATAAAATCTTAGTTTAGTCATCAAAATATTAATATTTTGTTCCTTTTGTTATATACGGCTGTCATTCGGTATATCGAGAAAAATGATCGTAAAAGAATACCTAACGGTGGTCAAGCATTGCGATCGGATCATGAATATAATTAATTGTAATTCTACTTCAAAATCTGTGAAAAATCTGCTGTATTTTCAAAACGCGGAACAAAATTAATCCGAAAAAAAAATTATGTCTGTCAAAATGACTCAACTTTCTCAATAATACTGTGCAATAAGATAAAGAAAATATGCAGTACTTTATGAGAAAACACAAAAGGCGCAACACAAGTCTATTGGATTCTTTAAAAAAAAGCACGTTTTGTACCTATAATGGTCACATTCCAATATATAATGATATATTTGAAACTGAATCTTTAGTGTGTCAGATAGTACAGTAAAATAAAAGTTTTTTCCCTTGAAACCGTTCATTTTGTTTTTGAAAACATTGAATTTTGTTGATTTTTCATCAAAATTGATCGTGAAAGATCGGGCAACGCATTATCTTGATCGTGAAAGACAAGGCGTGACCAGACAGACGCAGAACGTTTGCGCTTTTTTTACCTGCAACTCTAAATGGATATTTTATTTGCAAAAGCATACAGAACATGCTATGGCAATACATAATATATACACAATGTGACAAAAGACTGATAATAGAGAACAATACAATAATAACATAACTAACCAATAATATCAGATCTAGCTTTCCATGCATTCTTTAAATAGTTACAGAGCTTAATTGTAAGCGATCTAGAATTAGCTTTCAACAAACAAGATAGTTTAAAAACATGAACAATAATAGCGAGGCAGAAAAAAAATTCTAATTGCCCTATATGCTGGACATACCAATACAAAATGGAATTCATTCTCAACACATTTCATTTTACAACATACACATAAACGCATTTCTCTTGGTATATCAGAGAAGCGACCAACTTCAACATTTAGTTTCAAAGTACCACTTCGTAGTTTCGTAAGAATGTGAACATAATTCTCAAGACAAAAATCAAACTTTATACTTCTATATACACTTAATTTTTCACAGTCACATATATCTGCTGACCATTTTTGTAGATATTGGTCTTTAATGCGTGTCTTTATAGCATCAAACGATATATTAATATAAAGGACATTTGCGCTTTAAACTTTGATACACCTGAACAAAATTGACAAGACATTTACAATTTTTATCTATAAAAGTTTATCTGTAATCTTTAGAAAATTTACCAAAGTCATACAAAAGATGTTCACATATTCTTTGAAAGTTCTTCCGAACAAACGGCAAAATCAGAAAAAAATATTCGGGTAAACCAGACATATTATAAAAAATATAGTATACGTTTCTGGATAAACGATAGAAAAAACGAAACTTTTATGGATGGAACATTTAAATTATGACCGAAAGTCTATAATTAACTTTCTTATTAGTGGATTAAAATTGGAAACTATATTCCTCTTGTGGTTATTCTGTTGCATGAATAGTCCGAGGAACTGTACCATCATAGTTTATCCAAGCTTTTCTTTTTATTCCCCATTTCCATTCTCAATTTTATTGTTTCAATTTGTGAAGACCGAAATTTTATTTTTAAACCACCTGCTGTACCTTTTAGAAAGAGTCATGGTTTTTATAAGGAATTTACTCCCATCCACCCTCTTGGAGTGTTGTCGTTTTCATCTGACACAAGCATGATGGGGAAAGGTTGATGCTTTTAGCTGTATATAAATATATGAATGTTTTGTGTTGTTTTATATTAAATGATTTTTTATGCTATGTTGACAAAGCGCAAATGTCCTATTGAAAAAGCGCAAATGTCCTATTGAAAAGGCGCAAATGTTCTAAAAATGTAAGCGCAAATGTCCATTAAAAAAAGCGCAAATGTCCTATCAAAAAGCGCAAACGTCCCTCACCGGACCAGGTTTAATAATCAGAAAACAATATTTCTTTTACCAATTGATATACTTGCAACTAGTTGAAGCGTGTAATTACTTCAGTAAGAACGAACATTAATGCTTTCATTTTTTTTTTCACTTTTTAAATTTCAACACTTTTCCTTAAAATTTATTAAAATAACTAAAAGCGTGTCTAGATAAGTAGATTTCCAAGATAAAAGGACCTTAAATTTTCGAAAAGTAAAAGTATATAGGTATCTATAATGCTTAATGCATCCGCCCTAGAAATATATGCATATGGACGCGTTTTGATTTTGTTTGTGTAAGGGTTGTTACTTTCAGTTATATGGAATGTCCTTCGTGTGTACATCGTATGACAATATTGGTTAATTTATTTTTTATTTCGTGGCTGCGCTGACATAAACTGAAAAGGTACTAAGATAACGTTATTTTACTTGATTGTTTGATCAGTCTGTTAACAATAGCTGTACCTCATTTTACCAACTTAGTGGGGAAATTACCAATCAACTTACCTCGCGATCGATTGTGCATGATGCCCAGCTTGAATTGTAATTTAGCCGATTAGGTTCTATTCTCAATCTTAAACTTGTATAAGAAATCAAAACTTATGAAGGACGGACAAATAGACTGATATTGCTATAAAGCACATAGTCGGTGTGGTATTATAAAATAATCAGATCCAATCGCATTGCACTATTATAGCCCTATTCACCAACAAAAGAGAACCGGAATGAGTCATGCAAATCCAATATTTGCTATACCAATTAAAATATAAATTATCATATAATTAGATAATGATTAGAACGTTTTCGTAGAATCAGATCTTTCACGATCCTTTTCACGATGTTCAAAAAGCGGTACGCGATCTTTCACGATCCAAAAAATAATTTTTTGTAAATATTTCACTTTTTGCAAAATTTCTGATTATGCTAACACAAACTAACTTTAAGAACCATTTGAATCATTAGAATGGAATGACATTTTTCAAAGAAAAGTTGTTTAGTCATTCGAATTACGAAAAAAATCTTGTTTGTTTACATATTTTATAAATGTCATTGAAATGCCAGCAATCCTTTAACGCTGTTAATGATAGACACTTGATATTCTGTAGATAGTCAGCACTTGAACAGTGTGCTCAAAGTTTTAAAGTTTAATGTTGGCCCTACGGACAGAAAAGTGACGAAATATTGAGTTATATAGTGTAAGCTTGAAACATTGTAAAATATTTTGGATAGGAAGTTGAAACTTGAATTTTTATAAGGTGTTAAAAGGGCAGTTTTCAGTAACTTTCAATTTGATATTAGGTATGATACTTACCTAACCGTAATTCTAATAATTGTTTTTATTGTTATTTTGAACACCGTTTTCTCCAATTAACAATCAACACAAAGAACAGTTTACTAAAATTTCAATTGTTCGAAATACTAAGGGTTTTCTACCCCAGGAATAGATTATCTAAGCTGTTATTGACAATACTCTTTCAGAATTTTGGGTCCTCAACGCTCTTTAACTTTGTGCTTTACTTGGCCTTATGACTTTCTATATTCGAGCGAGTCACCGATGAGGTTTTTTGTAGATGAAACGTGCGTCTGGCGTACAAAATTATAAGCCTGGTATCTTTGATGAGTTTATATATATGACAAAAGACAATAATGTGATAATCCCACGGGGGGGGTCTCTTCCTATATGAAGGTATATACATATGTGCCGCTGGAATGGGTCCCTTTTTTGATACGTCAAATATATCAATGGGGTGCAATTTTACCGAGGAAATATATCAATAGGTAGTAATTGACCAATTGTGATATATCAATGGGTCATAATTTTTCAGTTTGTTGTGCAACGATCTTCACTGAATTTCCCAAGGTACTATTTGAGCTGATAAATATATGAATGGGTTATGATTTCGCTGTGAAATATATGTATAGGTAGGGATTTCACAATTATTCAATATATGAATGGGGGATGTTTTTTAAATCCCAGCTGCACAACTGTACCCAAAATCCCATGTTGAGACCCCCCCCCCCCCCCCCCCCGTGGAAAATCCTAACTAGATATGAATCTATAATACAACAAATTTAAGAGAATATTGAAGGACATTAAGTTTACATGGCAATACACATTTGAATTTGAATTTGAATTCCTTAAGGTAATGGCCTTTATGTGAAATAAAATTAGTGGAAATTGTCAAGACTCTGAGCGATTTAGAGCTTAAATAAACTCAGTGTGATTTAGAAATTGTCCTTCTCCGAGCTATTTGGAGCTTGTATATACTCATCTGTCTCGGTTCAGGACGATTTATAGTTTGTCTACAACCTTTGAAGATTTTGAGCTTTTCAGCTGAACTCGGGTCAATTCAGAGCTTATCTAGACTTTAAACGATACTGAGAATATATGACAGTGTGTGTCCATTGCTGAAGACCAGAAGATGTTCTTCAGATAATTTTTGTTAAAATGTGTTGTTGGTTTTCTGTCTCATTATTTTTTCATCCACATTTCCATTTTTATTCGAGGACAACACTGGAATGATTCTCATTATATACTGGGATATTTCCAGACCGCAACGAAATATATTTTTATGAATAACAAAGACAAAGAAATATCAAATTGGCAAAGGTCCATACGAGGAAGTTAAAAAGGATAACCTAGTACACTGAAGATGCGTGGACAAGAGCATGATACAATATACTTATAGGTCTATCAAATGACAAGTGCCATGAACGGAAATCATCCCACTTAAAAGGGTATGTACTCTCATATAAATATAGTAAGTATAATAAATTCAACTCTTTTATCTATATATGAGGGATTGCTTTAAGAACGCAATAGAATTCAGAGGGAAATAGTTGTGAATTTTTACAAATTATTTTGAATATAAAAAGGATTTATAAATAAGGAGTACGTTATATTGAAGTGTTTGAACTTTGACTTAAGATTATTTAACTAAAGGATTACTTTCTGAAAAAAAACAGGTAATGTATAAATTATTAATTAAGGATAAATTTAAAAAAAATTATACTCTATTTCAAATCAGGAGAATTCTGTGTTTTATTCTGTTTTTTTGTTCTGTTTCATTTTTTCGTTTATACATATATTTTTGGAGGGTGGATGAAGAATAAGACAGGAATCATAATACATTGTGTGAAGTATCAAGCAAACCACCCAGAAAAAGTAAGAAGATATCTTGTGTGCAATGGAAAAAAAATATGAGAAGGAGATATAACACAATGGCCTAGTTCTGCAGAAAAGACAAACATCAATAAGCAAAAAGCAACAATTGAGCTACATCAGGACAATTCATTTCAGTTTTGAAATATGACTTTCGATGTTCCACGATGTTTTTCGGATATGAGAAAATTCAATCAATCAAATTACGAAATGCATAGATTGAAATATACACTTTCTGTAAATCAATTTCAGGAGCTTAAAAATTGAGGAATTACCGTTCGCAAACAAAGGAGGTTTAATGAAATAAATAAATGGAGAATGTGTTCATATGACACTGATGATGCTCCTGCTTGCATATAACGTTATAAAGGGAAATACCTACAGAACAGTAGAAGTGACGCCACCCAAAATCGAACTTGATCTGTTTTTAAGCATTGTGTATAAGATGCATAACATTTAATTTCGGCAAACTAAGGTTAGAGAACGGAAACGAAAAATTCAGCATTTTATCCATTTATGAAGGACTCCAGAACGGTAAAAGTGACGCTACCCAAATTCGGACTTGATCTGAGTTTTGTAGTAATAAGCATTGTTTACAAGTTTCATAACGTTTGGTTGAGGCAAATTTCGGGAGCAACGTACGTTCAAGCGCAAAGAAGCGATTTTTTTCGACGTATTTAACTTTTAGCCAAAAAAATTATTTTTTTCTTGAAAAAAGGGGGGAGGGGTTTGGATTCGCCCCACCTAAATCTGCCCCTGCATGTATGTTATGTTTTTTTCCCCATTTTAATATAATTAATATGTACGTAACTGATGCACAGCAGTTGTATTTGAATAATTTAACACACATTTAAATTCATTTGGTAGTGAACTTTATATGTGTTTTTGAATTAATTTATGTTTATAAAACGGTACTTTTAGAATACAAATTGAAAGTTTGATTTTACGCACAATGTTGTTCGCCATTCAATAAATAATAACTACGATTTGCATTACTTGTATAAATACAAAAAGTAGTATTTATTGGATACAAATACAAAAAGTATTTACTGGGAAGTTATTTTTGTTATAGCGGTATAAGGGATCATACAGTTCAAAGAAATGTAATAATTGTTTATAATATATTATTTTTATAAACTACCGGAGATCGGGGAAAACTTGTTAGTACTATATTCAAATATTATCCTTGTTGTTGAAGTAGTTAGGGAGTTTGGGTAACTTTGAACTCTTTTTTTTTTCAATGTGTCTATTATTTATCTTTGAGATAGGAAACTTTGATTTAAATAATTTGTAACAGTTGTGTTTTAAGTTTAGATTTTTTTTATATGTGTAGTGCTAAAAGAAATATATTCAATAATTAATAATTGGAACCAAACTATTTATCCCCTTCCCTCCAAACCCCCCCCCCCCCCCCCAATTTCTTAGCCTCAAACTTTACTATATGTACGAGAAACACGTGTCTTTATTGTGCACTTAACCGATTTCCTTCTATTTTTAGATATGCATTTTTTCTTCAGAAGTTTTCCCACAAATTACCATACTTGTTTTTATATACATGTACGTAATTTGACAATCATGATGAATTACAATCAAGTATAATTTTATTTTACATGAAATTTCCTCATAATTACAAATTTACGAAGCAATCCTGATGTGATGCATATGCACTTTAAATTTACAGAATGCTAGAAGCGTTACCTTTGTTACTATTTCTGTGCGTTATTGGGAATGCTGTCTCGCTTGAAGACGGACCAGGTGTGTGTAACAGAACAGAACGGTAAGTAAAATAATAAGATCATTGTATCTCCCTTAACTTCCAATCGCTTTTCATTGGTTATAAGGTTTGTTTTTTACAACTGCAACGTATGTTTATGGAATTCTGGTTCATTCAACCTTTATCAACATTTTGGAATTTAGGTATAAATTGTATGAAAATATGTTGGCATAGTAGGTTAAATAATATATAAATTTTATATTATGTGTAATTTAAACATCAAGTTATATGTAAAACCAGATTGAAACTTCGGTAGCTATACGTCACATCTATATTATTTTTAAAACGAAGATAAAGCAAAAGAACGTGAAATACATGTAGGTCATTTTATGTGTTTCTATCTTTTTGGGTATTTAGGAACTAAACATAATAAAATAAACGGGAAATAAACTATTTTATCCAAGAATATTTATCCACTCAAATAAAATGCATACCAGTAACATTCTCGTGAATATCTTACACTATGATGAAAATATTAAAATGATATTTGAAGTAGAATACTTTTAAAAAAAAATATGGGAATACTTAATATAGCACTTTTGTAATAACAAGTACATGTAACACAAATATGCACTAAAAATTGAAACTATTAGATGTGGTATGATTGCCACTGAGACAACTATCCACCAGAGACCAAATGAAAAGGAAGTAAGTAACTATTAATATATACATCTATGAAAACAGCCAGTATGATAAATAGTGACAATAAAAAAATAACCAATGTATGAATTAGATTTTGTGATTGTGGTTTACCATGTATTGATGGTGACATGTGCTTTGAATGTTTTCATGCGTCATTCAACTGTTAAAAACTTCACGTGACACATGTATTTAGTCAATGAAAAACCACAAGTACATTCTATTATACCTATTGTAAATACTGATAAAGTTCGCAAGGTAAAAACCATATCCCATGTTGCAGGTTCGTATTGTGTTTCACTTTTACGACTTATAGTTTACATAGGCAAAAAGGAGAGGGTGTGCCACCGTATATCTTTGTTCTAACTACACCACATTTTTAGCGTGTAACAATTCAGGTTATCTTCACCAAGAGTTATTCGTTGTTGTTTGATTGTGTTTGTTACGCCAGTATTTATCAGGCGGAGTGGGCTGTTGGTGTTTTTGGGGGTATGTTGCACTGCCCAATATTTTTAGTAATTCCTGTTACCCTTTTAATGCATTCCTTAGCATGTAGCTAAACCATCTATTTCATACATTGATGGCATAGTGACTATCATGCATGATCTTTTGTGTTGTACCGTAAATTAACATTATCAGACTGAGCGATGTGAGATAAAGGTATAATAGTTATAGGTTAGACAATACTTGGTCATGTTTTATGAAGATTTAAAGCCCAAGGTGTGTGAAAAAACAGCGTATGAATGAACAACGTGTGAAGGAACGCTCAAATTTAGTAAGACCAGAAGCTCCATGTGAGTAGGAAATATCGAATTTGAATTGTATAGTCTGAACAAAGTTACTATGTTGTGATTTCAGCTGAATAATACTTGGGTACTTCAAATACCAATCCTGTACAAACGCACTCAAAAATGAAAATGACAATATAAAAAAGATCACAATTCTAATCGAGAGCTTTAGAAAAGAAATTTGCCCCCCCCCCACCCCCCAACAAAAAAACCTTAAACCTAACGAAAAGTGTATATACCTAAATATCATACTGATATCATTAATAATCAAATATGAATAATTTTTAAATTGCAATAATTTCAAATATAAACACATAAGTTTCTAGATTTAGATTTAGGAATCATTACCTAGGTATTAAAGGAGGCAGGTGCATGCACATCCCTGTATATAGATAGAACAAGCTTTTAAGATTATGTAGAACTGTAGAGTTCTAGAGGATGAATACCAACATTGGCGAAGGAGCCGGGGGCATAACTATGTTTTTGCAGGCGCTCTACACTTTTGGCAAAAATAAATGATTGAATATATAAAATGAAAATAAATAAATGGAGAATATAAATAAATGGAGAATGTGTCCATGGGACACAGATTATGCCCCCGCTTGCATATAATGTTATAAAGGACCATAACCCGAGAACGGCAAAAGTGATGCAACCCAAATTGGTACTTGAGTTGTGTTTTGTGTTAATACGCACTGCTTTGGGGTTTCAAAACATTTGGTTGATGCAAACTAAAGTTAGAGAACTGATATCAATTTTGGGTCGTACGTACGGACGGACAACGGACGGACTTAATGCATAAAAAAGACTATTAAACATTAGACTCCTGCAGAAAAGTTCCCGCAGGTTCATGTAAATGATTTTATACTTGCTAGTATGCCTTTTACATGCAAATGTCAGAAAAATAATTTCCTTCTTCCAATTTGATACCGGTCTTCTATAAATCATAAAATCTGACTCATTCATACATTCCGTTCGAAACTGAAAGCGTGTGTTATCGGAAGTTTAAAACTTAATCAGATGCATCTGATTCATGAAGTTAAGAGCACTTTTCAAATTAATTGTTGAGTGCTTGTGTATTTCTTAATTTTTGAAAAAATATCCTTGTGGACAAATGTTAATTTTCTTAAAAATGAAAAATAAACCACTAAAACGATTTTATTAAAATAAGAAGAAAAGTACCAAACAATATAGTTTACAGTTTAAAATAAGTTAAATTAGTTGAATTAGTTTAGATGAAAAAAATAAAAAAGGATACATCCACTTTATTTGAACTTTGGTGGATAGTTGTCTCATTGGCAATCATACCACATCTCGTTATTTTTATATTGGACATAAACATAAAATGCGTTTCTTTATATGTTTGGATATAATTTTTCATGCAGTTAACGCTAATACATGTACACTTAAAACTAGAGGATTTATGTATCTCAGTTGATACGATATACTACAATGGATGCATGTCTATCTCTGTCAACGCATTGCCAACTGGTCTAACTTCATTCGGTGTTTATTCGATTTAGACTTTTCCTATCATTTCTGTCAAATTATTCTTGTGTACTTTCTCTATTTTCATAGTGGACAAAATGAGGGTCAGTGAGGATTGTCCTTTAAAAGTTAAAAAGTTTTTCTCCTCCCAGACATAACGTCATAAATTTGAATACTGTGGATTCATTTATTTTCCTGTGTACCAATTTTCATGGATTAAGGGAAAATTGCAATTTTGTGGATATTTGATTTCGTAGTTTCGCCAAAGTTTGCTTACAAGCTTATATAAAATTTGTAGAGTACTTCGTTGAACATTTAGATTCGTGATTCCACTATCCACACCAAAAAATTTCGAAAATTGGTATCCCACGGAAAATAATGAATCCACAGTATTAAAACACAAATAATTTAAAATTGATCGATTCTCAGATGACTCTATTATTAACGGAAGTAAATTTTACTTTTTTTTCAGCCAAACTGTCGATCGAGTTGTGACAAAAGAGGTATATGTTGGAACAACAGAGATACCATGTGTTGTCAATAGCTGGCTAGATGAACTGTCATGTATGAACAGAAAAACGAAGACAATGTAGGTATACCGTAAACAACGATGTCAGCTACACCGAGTTTAAAAATGCCCCTTTGAAGTCTTGACTGATTACAGATCATCACATATATTTGCATTTTCCACCTCTTGCACTCGAGGTTAAAGTCAAAGTGTTCCGATCATGCGCGATTTGCCAATCCAGAAACTAATGCATTCTGGGTAATATTTTCCAAAATGTCAGTACACCAAAATGTGTTAATTCTTGGCGAACTGTTTGACAGGTCAAGTTTCAAATCATCTGGAACACGTGTTTATGAATACAAAATTAAGAGATATTGTGTGATTGCCATTGAGACAACGTCCAGATGAGTAGATGTTAGCAGCTATAGGTCACCGTATGGCCTTCAACAATGAGCAAAACCAATACCATATAGTCAGCTATAAAAGGCTTCGACATGGCAAATTGTGAAACAATTTAAAAAAAACTAACGACTTGATTTGTTACAAAAAACTCAACTAAAAACAAATATGACAAACAACAGACAGCAACCAACGACAACCACTGAATTACGGGATCCTGACTTGGGAAAGCACATATTGAATGTGGCGGGGTTATACGTGTTTGTGTGTGCTAAATCCTCCCCTAACTTGGAACAGTGGTGTGAAAACAGAAAAAAAACATAAGAAAAAACTGATTAAAATTCGGATCTATCACAACTCTCGTGCTCATATGAAGTTTAAAGAAATTAGAAATCTATATTTTAATCAGATTACACATATTTGTGAACACTAAATCCTCACCTAACTTGGACAGTAGTGTAACAGAACACCATAAGAACAACCCGTAAAATTCTGTTGGAATTAAGAGACCTGACTTGCACGAAGTAATATTACAACTAACATTTGATTGTTTGGTGTTTAACGCCTCTTTCAGCACCATTTACTATTTCGTGGTGGTCAGGTTTAATTGGTGTGCGCGGATAGAACCACCGACATTCGACCGAAAAACTGATGATCCTAGTCAATTCAGATTAGAGCCGAGCGCGCCTGCCACGTGCGGGTTTCGAACTCATAACCTCAGCGTTGACAGGCTAGTGATACAGTAGTTGATCTACTTAGACCTCTCGGCCACCGAGGCCCCAAACTAGCTTTGAATTCTCTGTGACCTCTGTTAAATGATGGGCTTGCAATGTAGGTTTGTTCTCTCCATTGCAACATATACGGGTACCCGAGTCACCCTTGTTGTCAAGAGCCAAACCGATAAAGGACAGGGAGGCATTCTAGCATGCAATGGTGTTTTTATACTGCTTGTATCATTATCCATGTTAAAATACATTCAATTGCATGACTAGTGTAACAATAGTTTTATGTAATACATATAATGTTTTATCGTAGAAACGTTACAGAACATAGAAATGAAACAGTACAGGAAATCGTTCCAATGGTTATAAAGTTCTGTTGTGCAGGATATACCCTCGTGGGTGACAGATGTATACTGCGTAAGTGCATTAAGTTCAGTATATCTTATAAACCTCGCCTAAACACATTACAGTTAAAGATTCCACCAACTTAGAATAATCATTTAACAGAATTATACAGAATATCACATTTTGGAAACACAATTCATCATAGTAAGGGGACTTTTTAATTAAATTTTTAAGGGCGGGCAGGAGACATTTTAATATTTCAATATCCTGGCCTGGTAAGAAGTAAGAGCTAAAAATTGACAACCTTGCATGAAACAGGATGAAAAATTAATGTTCTGCAACACAAACGACAGAAACCAATCGTGTACAAACGTGAAAAATAAATGTTCGTTCATAGTGACAGATGAAAATGAAGTCATTTCGTAAATAATCCTCGTGCAGGAATTTATTGATGTGTATACTTGGTAGGCTCACTCAGAGACAGAATAAGCCCAAAGGCTGTGCAGTGAAAGGCCGAGTCAGAGTTAACACGTCAATATACTCCGTAAGAATAACCTTTTTTTATTTATAACTTCAATCAGATGCACTGTAAATTATTGCTACGTCCATTCAATGTACAGTTACAGAACTATTCCGTGTGTAGGAATTAATACGCGCGACGTCACGTAACGGGATTACACATGCTTAACCTTTTTTTTTTCATTACGCTTACCAATTATTGTATGGTAGCACGATTTAAAGACATAAGACTTTTAATCTGAGCACGATCTGTTCTTTTCAGTAAATTCCAAAACAAAAACACCCAAAACATCAGACACAGTCACCCTTGTACGCTCGATTGTGTCTTTCTTTGTTTCTTTTCTAATTGAAATTTCTACGACTTTTGTTGTAAAAAGTAGTAACAAAACTGTCAATACCACCATAACTACAATTTACTAACTAATCTTATTACATATCAAATTTTCCACTTTTTAACATGCGAATGGGAAATTAAACAAACCAATTTTCACGAAAAAAAATGTAAGGGCGGATAAGCCTAAACATGTTTCAGGATTCACATTTCATTCCAATGCTGTTGCTGCTTTTACGTAATAGTTCTAAAGAAAGACATGTAAACCTATTTCCTCGATGTATGTACCTTTGTATTATTGTATAACATCTATGTTCTTCTGTGTACCATCGTATCTACAGCAGTTTAAGTATATAAGATATATAAGTTTCACTCACAAAATAAATGAAACCTTGTCGACTTTTACTAATACTTTTCATTTCTTCTCTTATTAACACAGAAACTACAACCACAACAACAACGGAGAGAATGACAACCACTTCTACCGTTAAAGTAGAAACAACGCAACCTCAAACGACCACAATACCAACAACACAACCACAAACAACCATAAAACCAACAACTCAACCACAAACAACCATAAAACCAACAACACAACCACAAACAACCATAAAACCAACAACACACAAAACAACAGTAAAACCAGAAACGACGACAATTAAAAAATCCGAAACTACACAAAGAATTATTGAAACGACTGTTCCACCAAAATCAACTAAAAATATTCTTACAACATCTGAAACGACCATTAATGATATTGCAGCAACCTCTGAAAGGAAAGTGACGTTTGAAGCAAAAGTTAAACCCAAACCGACCACTACCTACATAACAGGCGCAGACGGAAGTACACCTATTCCAGACTATGAAAAAGGCATCAACCCAGAAAGTTCCTCTGGGAATTTAGATACAAGAGACCTGTTATTATATGTGTCGGCTGCCTGTGGACTGTTGTCTTTTATAACTATGATAGTTGTCGTCGGCATATGTTACCAGAGATCAAAGAGAAACAACAACCGCCGGTAAGTTTATACAATTCCCAGTAAGATTAAACAATGCCTGGTAAAATTATAAAATGCCCGGTAAAATTATAAAATGCCCGGTAAGACTATACAATGCCCGGGCAGTAAAAAATATTTAACATTTATTAATTAAAAAATATACTAGATTTCTATTCTTGATAATAAAGAAGCAAATATTCGGAAAACATAATGATGAACTTGGATAGTAATAACAAGATTTTGTTTTGTAAGATCGAAATGTTTTTAAGTAGTCACTTGACTTTTGTCATATTAAAATTCAACGTATGTAGTTCACGTTAAAGTGTCACCAAACGTATATTCCAATAAACATATTATCTATTTATCTAATTGCATTCATATGAATGCTTTGTTGTTTATCTATTTATAGAATGTACATTTTATATTTTAGATTCCATAATGATATTCTGTCAATGGAAACAGGTATGTATACATTGTATTTTTTAACTGTTGTTCTGAGTAACTTTTTCATCATTAAAAAACAAAATCGATCAAGTGTATATTTCATATAAATTGACAAAATAAGTAAAGGGGTCTAGATACTCATAGATAGCATTCCCTGTCTTCTAGATTTCATGGTCTCCGTAAAGAAGATGCAATGGATAAGCGTTGGTTCGTTAAAAAGATACCATGATCCTGCAGGCTGAATGGTATCTTCTCGAGTGAGGTTGGATAGACGACACACAGTGATTTTTTGAGGCATCCCTCACAACCCCTTTTACTGCTCACTTTTAGCCGATCGTTTTGCTGTGATCATACATACAGACATCTTATATGATGCTCGGTGTCAATTATAACAAAATATATTTGTAATATGAACAAAACGGCCAACTTCAGGGACACAATCGGTTGTTTCAGAGATGCACACATCTTTTAAAAATTCAATCGAATGATCATTGTTTGATTCAATAAAACATAACTTCACTGTACGCATGTCTACTCTTTATCAGTGACTTACTGTTGTGCGTAAAATTTCATCATTGATTGACATTTGTTCTATCTATAAATTTAATTCCACGCCCCATCGTCTATAAATCATTATAACAAACTATAGAACTTTTATCGAGCTAACAGTTGGGTGGATTAGCTAAACGTTCAACAACATGGTTGATAAAAATATAAGGAGATCTGGTTTGATTGCCAGTAAGACAAATACTAGTATCCATCAAAGAGGGTGGTAAAGGGTTATTTTCGTGCAAAGTGTTTTGCCATTTTTATTTCACGTGCAGCCGTGAAAAAGGTTCGTTATTCACCGTGTTTCGTGAAATCGGTAAAAGGATCAACGTGCAAGAAATTTTTAAGTGTTTGTTCATCGTGAAATGGCAATTTTATTTCGCGTTCGTCCGTGCAGATACCCCCCTTTACGCCCCTCATCAAAGAAGATGAAAACAACAACAGGTTATCTACGGCTTCAAATTATGAGCAATGTTTTGCAGCTAACAATTACTAGTATATAATTTCGATTAATGTATTTTCTTTTTTTATGAGTTCGAGTAAACGGTTTGAATCAAATGCATGGTGTGGAAAACCCAAATTATAAGCAACAGCATCAATCAGAGTGCGTCGAAACTCCAAACTACAGAGAAAAGAAGCAAAATAGTACCAACGTGTATACAGAAATGCGCTTAACCGGAGTAAACCAGTACGATGATCTCGTAGGAATCGAGGAAGACCCCTATGACGAACTACCTGACGAGTTACCGGGCGATTACCAAGATTGCGATGCGTCCCCAAGATTATACAAGGCTTCGGTATCTCCAGAAAACCATTACGATGTTTCAAAGTATTGAATCTGTCTGATGTTAGTGATACCTGGTATATCAGCCAGAGTAAAGACAAGACATATGAGTTGAACTGAGGTTTTGTTTGGCAATTTTATGTTTGCCGTTAAATCAAACATTATAATGTGTAAATTATCGTTGTGCTGGATTTTTAAAACAAATATTATAACTGTACTTTATAATTGGTAACTAATTGTGTGTGTGATATACAATACCGTTAATCGGAGTACTTTCGCATTGGTCATATTTTCGCCATGATCGTGGTAATTATTTTACGTGAACATTTCACTCTCCATTTAAAAGTACTTTCAATGCCGTGAAGAAAAAGACTCAGAGGGTCTGAATAGTGTTTACAGAATAGAGAATTATGGACACCCATTCAGACCCTCTTCTAAGGTCCAAATCGTGAACAAACCATGGCGCAAAAACAAGCCGATATACAGAATACTAGTATATACTTATTCTGTTTGTTTCATATTTAAGTATATCGTTTTTTTTTGTTTAGTGTTTGCCTACGATTTTTGCGATGAGAGAGAGAGAGAGAGAGAGAGAGAGAGAGAGAGAGAATAATTAGCAGAAACATAAAATTCGTTAAAAAGTCAAAAATAATATGTACTATCTTTAAAAGAGATACCTGATGCATTTAGGTGTGAGCATAGCTAGAATTTAAAACAAACCATGAATCTTTATCATTTTTTGTTATCATAGTTAAAAAATTGCACACAATTTGACGAACAAAGCCTGACGATTCTGAAATTTGAGTAGATGCTCTTTTCTCTAAAGAATTAAAATATATACTGATGCTTAACTAAATGTATATATAGGTATTTTTTCATAGATAAGGAAGTACAAAGTTGTGAAATATACACCAAACATACTATATAATTAGTTACTATTTCTAATGAATAACACACTTGAAAAATTTTATAACCTTGATGTCAATCATAACTATATATCAAGCACAACTTTAACAATTAGATATACAACCTATTTCGGTGTGTATATCGGAGACGTACGGATGCCAAAGGGAGATGGTCTATAGAATACATCTTTTGACAAGTAATTAAATTTGCGATATATGTATTTAAGCGATTCTTTATTTCAAGTAAATAATTTTGTACTCTTTGAGATAGTTATGACGCCTTGACAGTTTTAAACTGCACTCAGAAGTACACAAAGTCGATACGATATATTTATAGCACTTGAGCTATTAATAGCTTAATTGACCTGCATAATTAGTGGTAGATCTAATGACCCTATCAGTGATATTTACCTGCTCGTGTATTAAAGGCTAAGCCTACAAAGTCCAAGCAATTCCACAGTGGTGATAATGACACCTTCTTTACCTGATTTGTTTTTAATCTATCCGGCTAATTTCATTTTAGTTATGATTTTATGTCCGTAATGTTTTTCTTTTATTGTAGACTATATCTTTTTTGCTTGTTTTTGTTCAATTCCATAATTCCATAATTTTGTCCAATCAAAGTAAGGTTTGGTGACATCATGCATGCCGTTACTCTCGAATAAAAAAAAATTAAAACGCCAAATAGAGTTCGAAGTTGAAGAGCATCGAATATGTTGAAGACCCAAACATTCCGAAAGGTAAGTCGTACAGACATATATTGTAGAGGCTTTTGAAATGAGGTCATTGGTTATTAAGCAGGTAATTAAAGTCAAGGTTATCTATAAGATTTTGAACTTTGCTTGTTATCACAACTCTTCAGAAACAGTAAAAGTTATCGATATAAGATTTTTGGCAAATTGTAAGTTGCCGTTTCGGTCGAAATGCCTTTATGACTTTTATTGGAGTTGCCCCCTTAAATATTCAAAATAAGCTGCTTGGTAGTATAACTTCTTAACCATATACTGTATATTATATGGACATGGGGACTTTTTAAAATGAGATGCATGACCTTTGACCTTTGAAAGTATGTCATGATCAGAATTAGATTCGTCGTTCTAAATTTGTACCTTTTCTATAACCATACTGGTACACGATCAAGCAATAAGGACTTGCATTAGCCTCGACGGCATATGACTATGAAAAAGTCAAATGGAAATGACCTTGTGTAAACCAGAAATAGTTGTTTTTCACTTATTTCATGGAAAAATGCATACATATATATTCAGATGTAATGTGAATCAACCTTTGATATGAACCAGAATTAATAAATTATCTCCCTTATTGCCAGCCAACTCGAATCAGTGCAATAAAAGCTATCATATGACACCAGAAGTGGCAATTTTTACACCCGAAGTAGCCAATTATCTTCCTTAATCCAAGTTAAGGTATCTTAAAACCATATCTTTTTCAAAGCAGTGTAATGAAAGCTATCCTATGAGACCAAAAGTACCATTTTGTTCACCGGAAATAGCCAATTGTCTTCCTTATTTCAAAGGGAAATACATAGAAACCATTTTTCTTTTTTGGAATAAGGCAAAAGTATATTTCAAATGACAACAGCAATGACTATTTTAAACCGTAAGTAGCTGTCCATCTTCCTTATTTAAAAAAAAAGAATTTAAGGTAGAGAAATAAATAAAAAATGGTTTGGAAGATTAGATAATTGTTATATAAAGATTTACATAATTTTTATGTCAGATGTAGACAACTGATATTGATCCTTAATGTAACTGCAGTTCAATGTTGGGCATACTATTCTTGCTAAAGACATACTTTGCTTAAGGTAACGCTACAACATGGAATTTAGCTGGCAACCACAGGGTGTTCGATTCTTAGGTGCTGTTATTGAAATTAGAGTTGGTTTCCAGGCTAAAGTCGAAATGTAAAATAGTATAACAAAAATAATGGTCTCCAAGGCAAATTCAAAAAGGGGAAGTCCAGAAGAACTGACAAAATCAAACGCTACCGATTAACGGAAGAATTAAAAAAAAACATTTTTTGTGTTTTGAAGAAGTTTAATGAAATTAATCAGGATTATTTGTTTTTGTAACCAGTTTGAAAATAGTTGAAAACCTTCATGATCAGCTGTATTCATATATGCTAATCCCGAAATAAAACCAATCACACTGGTTTATATGGTTTGGTCATTACCTATCATATTCAAGACATGTTTGATCTCAATTCATTTATCAGTACCACAGGCAACAAACTCCAATCAGGCTTTCAGAAAAGAAAAACATATTTCTAAAACATTTTTTTTTTTACAAATCTCATATTTTTCAATTAATAACTTATCCTTTTATAAATCAACCAAAATATAAAGCTGCTGCAGTTGTTTTTATACACAATTGTGTGACAGACGGAAGGAAGCAAGATTAACAGGACCAATGCAGTATAGCTCTTTCCAGAATGCAATTTATTAATCCTGTTTCTGCAATTGAATACGGATATTGATTTAAGAAAAAAAATGTTACTAAGTTGCGCTATTTTTTGTTTAGGAATGCACACTTTTTTGTATCGCCTAATTTATTACGATATCGTCCTTTTTTACGCCATAGACGCCCTAGGCCTCTGTCAACTAGACCCTCGAAATTCGCGTATGAATACAGATGACCTTGATTACGAATTTGCGCTTATTTTTTTCTAGATATGACATGAAGGTGTGCACTTACTACATGTACGTTTAAACTGATTTATTTTAGGGGGTTTTACATTCCAAAAACAAAAGAATTGACTTTTGCCATTTTAATTGTATTCTTTGAGAGGGTAGTCAACACGTCTCCCTTTGAAAACTCACAAAATTTCCTATAAAAATAAACATAAGCATCTCCAATTTTATAAAATAATCATAAATAGATAATATTCAATCATCTTTCTAATATTACAAGTACTTAGACAATTGCTAATCTATCTCGCAAACCATGCACATACTGGAAGTAATTTTCATGTTTAATAGTTGTCAATTCTACGAACTGAGGTAAATATCAAACCTCAACCTTTTTTTATTTCGTTGATCATGAGTTAAAAAAGAATATAGAAAGTCAGCACGTATTTCAGAAGACTGTATATATGCGACTCATATTCAGTTGACTACTGATGGAGGATAACAGTTAGTCTTGATAAATATTTATATCTGACAATGCAATTTCCCATAGGAACCCCCTTTACAGCTAAAACTGTGCCACTTTTACTAGTATGAAGTGTCGTAAAAATATATATCATTGAATGATGGAAAGTTGATATGCCCTACTATTTTATTCAAAGGCTAAAAAATAGGGCTGTGCGGAATATTTTCAACTTTTATATGTCCCGAACTTCTAAGAGTTTATACTAAAATTCTGTACTACCCCCTCTATTCTCTTTGGGCCTTCCTCAGAATTCAATATCACCGCTATCATGTGTATTTATATTGGTAATATTGCCGAGTTATGTCTCCTTGAGATGAAACATAGCGATCATGTCTGGGAACCAGTACGTAAACAAAACAAAATATTTATATATATCAAATATCTCCCCAAAAGAGGCGTGGTTTGTGAAACAGCTGTACTTCAAAGTACAACCTATAGTAACTTTTAAACGCTAATGCATGTTCATTAGATCAATTACCTATTACGCAGGTGAATTCCAAAGGAACAAGAATTCCTTATGTCCTAGGTGACCAAAGAAAAGAACAGATGTATTCACGCGAATGAACCCTCATGGGTTTACGCAATACATAACACGTTCTCAGTTCAGGAATAATTTTGATAGCTTTAACATCATATCTTTCATTTTATATAAATATATTAAATCTATCAACATAACACGGTCACGGAAGTAAGCATGGTGAGTGTCGTTTTCAGTACAAACAAAAAGTAAAATAACAAACATACTGAACTCCGAGAAAAATTCAAAACGGAAAGTCCATAATCAAATGGCAAAATCAAAAGCTCAAAACACATCAAACTGAAGGAGAAAATGTCAGAAAATGGTAGAAAATGGTGGATTAAACCTAGTTTTATAGCTAGCTAAACCTCTCACTTGTATGACAGTCGCATAAAATTCCATTATATTGACAACAATGTATGAACAAAACAAACAGACATAATAGGTACGGAATTTTCTCGCTGTGTTGAAGACCCATTTGTGGCCTTCGGCTGTTTTCTGCTCTTTAGTCGGGTTGATGTCTCTTTAACATATTCCCCATTTCCATTCTCAATTTTGAATACTGTAAATTCAGAAATTATTGCGTGCATTTATTATTGCGATTTTGTCATTTTAGACTTAAATGCAGTTTTAATTTTTGCGATATTGAGAAAAATCCTGTTTAATTCATATAAAAACTTTCAAAATGCGTGTTTAAATTATTGCGATTATAACCCTGTCGCATTTTTCGCAATAATAAAAACATCGCAATAATTTCTGAATTTACAGTATGTCAAGAAAGAAAAACAAAAGGTATATAGACAAAGCACATTTGCAAATACAAAACACAAGAATACAACATACACGGTACCACTTGTTCTGCACCATATATATATTTTAGGGAACATTCTCTAATACTCATTGTATGGGCAATTTTTTTTTTGTTAGTGTATTATTCATAGTAAATAAAATCAACTGAACAATTATGACTTGTTACATTGTTGTAACAAACAAAAAAATAACAGACCTGTAAATAGCACAACCGTTATGAATATGGAACATTTTAAATGACTGATGCTTTCCGAATAGGCTCCGGTATGATTTGGTTGCCATTGGGTCAACTATCTAATAAAGACCAAATGACAAGGATGTTAACAACTAAGACTTAATTTTTCACGTATATCTCCATTAAGACTAAAGAATAAGATGTTAAATTACAGTTCACCTTATACGGCCATCAAAAATGAGTGAAATACATACTTTATAGTGAGCTACTGAAGGCCACGGAATGATAAAATGTTAAACAATTCAAAAGAGAAATCCAACGACTTGATGTATACTTCAATGATACACACAATACAATTCTGGCAGATAACAACCAAAGAAAACCAATGTATTACAGGCTCCTAACTTGGTACAAGAACACACAGAATGCGGCAAGGTAAAACACGATTGCAAGTGAATGCTCAACCCTCCTAAACTTTGACAGTGGTGAAACAACACAACATTAAATTAAGGCATGACACAATATACTTAGGCTATCAAAGTACAAGAGCCATCAACGGAAATCCTCCCACTTAAAAAGGTAAGTTTTCTA